CCAGGATGAGCTACTATAGATGTAGCACAGTGTCAATCAAAATCCCAGCAGGCTTTTTTATAGATATTGATATTTATTCTAAAATTCATACAGAAATTAAAAGGGTCTAGAATAGCTAAGGCACTCTTGAAAGAGAACAAAAAAGTAGAAAGGCTTACTTTACATGATTTCAAGATTTTTAAATAAAGTTTTTGTAATAAAGACTGTAGTACAGAATGATAGGCATGTAGCAATAGAACTTCCAGAATTTGACCTACATGTATGTAGTCAATTGACTTTTAACAAAGTTGCTAAGGTAATCAATAAAGAAAGGATAATCTTTCCAATATCCAGGGGAACAGCTGGATATTCATATGGGGGGAAAATAGTCAGTAACTAAACAAAAAGCTAAAACTATAGAAATTTAAAAGAAAATACCGAAAGTGCTTGTAAGCTTGCATAGGCAAATTTCTTTGGGCACAGAAAACATTAATTGTCAAGGGGAAAGTTTTCAAATTTATTACAACTTTTGCTTTCCTAATAACACTTTTAAAAATAAATGAAAAAGCAAGCCACACAGGGAGAAAATATTTGCAGATCATGTCTGATAAAAGACTTGTATCTAGAATATATAAGGAACTCTTATGATTCAATAAAAAGAAGAAAGACAACTACTCCTCAAAAAAAAAAATTTAAAATCAGGCCCAGAATTTGAACAGTTTTTGAAAAAAGATATATGAATGGCAAATAAATACATAAAAGATGCTCAACATCATTAGTCATCAGAGTAATGTCCATTAAAATACTAATGCCACACTACTTCACACCCATTTTGAGGCTAAAATTTAAAAGACTGACTATTCCAAGTGTTGATGAGATTATGGGGCTACTAGAACACTCGTGTTGCTGGTGAAAATGTACAGTGGCACAACCACTGGGGGAAAGTCGCCAGTTTCATATAAAGGCAAAGGTAGGTTTACCATAGTAATTCTGCTGCTATGTATTTCCCCAAGAGAAATGAAAATCTGTGTCAATTAAAAGGAAGATTTTTGCTAGAATGTTTATTGCTGCTTTATTTATAACTGCCCAAAGTTGGAAACAACCTAAATGTTCATCAGGAGATGAACAACGAAACTATTATTATATCCACAGAAAATCTACTGACAAGCACATCAAATAGGTTTCAAGTGCAGATGAAATCAGACTCCTTAGTGGAAAATGAACAAAGACACAATCAGGAATGCATAAACCAACCCTTGGCCCTACTCAGGGTTCCAGTTTTGGTTCCATCTTGGAAATGACAGGCGACTCCTGTCCTTGCCCTTTGATCTGTCCTGTTTGCGTAATTCCCAAGGCCCAACCCAATGAGAACAGAATACTGCTCAGCAGTAAGAAAGGAGCAAACTACTACTACTCAGCAACATGGGTTGAACCTCACAAATATTTCAAAGTAAAAGAAACCAGATGCAAAAATGGTATATTATATATGATTCCAGTTCTGTGTGATCCTGGAACAGCCAAAATGAACCTGCCAGGACAGAAAGCAAATCAGTAGCTGCCTGAGGTGGGTGATTGACTGCAGATAGGCACGAGGTAACATTCTTGGGTGATGGAAATGTGCTACCTTTGATTGTTTGGTGAATACAAAGGTATATACATTTGTCAGAATGCATCATACTCTATTTTTACATGGGTATACTTTATAATATATAAATTACACTTCTGTAACATTTCCTTTATGGCACTGCCTTCTGTGACTTTTTTCCACTTTCTCCCTTAAATTCAGACATCTCCATTCTCAGTTTACCATAGTATTTTTTTTCTTTTATTACTCCTTACTTTTTTGGTCTCCTTGTGTTTTACTAGGTTATAAGCTCTTACTCATCTTTGTTTACACTATAGCATCTTGCTCATTGTAACCTTTCAATACATGCAGAAAGAGTTATCAGCTATTGCTTTGTTTACAATTCTGAAGTCTAAAAAGAATCACAGGCCTGGAAATTAGCAAGACAAGTCTATAAAGTAGCCAAGAATTGATAGTAAGCATCTCTAGGGCAGCCCTAATCTTACACTTTAGGGCAATCCCATTTTATATTCAGTCTCACTAGGTAGTGAATACATGGAAGATGAGTACTCCTGGGCCCTGTAAAAGCTGTCTTTAAAGCAAGACAGCTAAATTCATTTGTTCATTCATTCGTTCATTCATTTGTTCGTTCATTCATTAAAGTAAAGCAAGACATCTTGTGCTGGTTTCAAAGGCCTGGACTATGTAGGTATATTTGATTCCAGTAATGAATGAAAATCGGATAGAATCACATAAATTTTCTGCTAGAAGTTATCATGGATACCATGTAGTTCAATCCATTATTATACAAATGCAGAGAGGATAGATAAATAACCTGCCCAGAGCCACACAGCAAATAAGAGATAGGGTTAAAACTGGAACCCAGGTTTCTACAGTCTCATACCAGGTATTTGACAAAGTAGAGAACTGGCTGTCTGTGGACGTTCTAATGAGTTGCCCCTTAGACAAAAGCTCTCGTTAGGTTGGCACTTGGAGTTAAGCAAACAGGACAGATCAAAGGGCAAGGACAGGAGTCACCTGTCATTTCCAAGATGGAACCAAAACTGGAACCATGGGTAGGGCCAAGGGTTGATTTATGTGTTCCTGATTGTGTCTTTGTTCATTTTCCACTAAGAAGTCTGATTTCATCTGCATTTGAAGCCTATTTTATGTGCTTGTCAGTAGATTTTCTGCAGTAAGAATATACTGTAGCTTGGTGAAGAGGAGTCAGTACATAACCCAGAATACTGGTGAATTCCACAGTCATGTTAAAACAATCTAAGTGGAGTGGATCTCTCTCTCTCTCAAACCCTTCTCTTTTTTCACTGTTTCCTGTCTTGTGTGAATTTATTGGGCACTGAGGGTGGCAACAGTTGCTGTTTTGCATTTCACTGGTTTTGAATTTCATTTTTTAAGGAAAATATGAAGTCAGTTTTATAATTAAAGTGAGTTAAAGTGGTCATTTTGAATTTTAATGATGAAGGACATTGAGATACAAAGGCAGTTTTGAAAGCTACAGAAAGCGTGCTCCTTAGATGAGTCCTTTGAATGAAAGAATGATAGAGCGGATGGTGATGATGAAGGAATAAGGAGCTGCTGCTAGTTAATGTATTCTCCACTCTCAGTGTATGGATGCAGCCTCCAAATTTTACAAAGGAAATAATCATCAGCACAGCATCTCTGCTCTCCTATGGATTGGTCTTTTTGTATAGCAGCCTCTTGGTTTTCTCAGTACAAGTATTTTATTTTAAAATGTATCTCTAGACACTTACTTCTGGTAGGCCTGGGAGAATGTAGATTACTTCATGTCTCTTCAACATTCCTTTCAAAGAGTCGAGCTCAATTTGTGTTTTTGAGATAGAGAAGAGGAGTAGATAGGAGGAAGGAGAAAATCTTAACTTTGCTTTGGGGGGAGAAAAAAAATCTTTCGGTCTTTTGTTGACACCTTAGCTTCTGCATTAGTCCTGTGTCCCTTCCTCCTGGGCCATGGGTGGACTGGAGCAATAGCAGCCATGTGCTGTTTTGTAAAGGAACGGTGCAAAGAAAAGAAAACAGCTGATAAAGAAAAATACAGTGCTCTCCATCCCCCTAGGTTTTTACCGTTGTAATTTAATTTTTTTATTGATTGATTTTTAGAGAGAGAGAGACAATATCATCAATTTGTTGTCATTCTTATTTGTGCATTCATCGGTTGCTTCTTGTTTGTGCCCTGACCAGGGATAGAATCCACAACCTTAGCAATCAGGATGATGCTCCAACCAACTGAGCGACCCAGTGGCCAGGGCAGTATTGTTTTTTAAATAACATCAAAAATAATAAAATACAAAAGCAAAAAAGGACAAATATCATGCAGCCATTGATAGGTCTAAAAATACAACTGTAAGCCTGGCCAGGTAGCTAAGTTGGTTAAAGCATCTTCCCAGTACACCAAGGTTGCAGAGTTGATCTCCAGTCAGGGCACATATAGGAATTGACCGGTGAATGCATAAATGAGAGCAATAATGGGCTGATGTCTCTGTCTCTGTCTCTTTCTCTTTTTCTCTCTCTCCCCCTCTCCCCCTTCCTCTCTGTCTCTAAAATAAGTTTTTTTAAAAAAAACAGTACTGAATTTCTAGCCCTAATTGTGAGAGTATTCAAAATCTAGTTTTTTTGTAAGTGTTATAATGAAAGTCAACTACAAAGGGAAGCTAGTAGATACCATTAATGTTGATAATGGAATGAAAAACCTTTCCTGTAACTACTTGTATCCCAAATGGGAGGTGGTGGTTGTGGGGGCGGGGCGGTGGAGGGGCTGCAAATTAATGGACAGTAAAGAGATTAACGAGAGAAAAGACAGTGTGGGAGCACTCAGTAGTGAGTAACTCACTGGAGAGCCAAAGGTAAAGGTTCATACACCACCTTAACACAGGGGAGGATTTAGGCCTTCAGAAGATGGAAGGTTTGGGGGATGCTTGTTTACACAATTTTTTTGGAGTGCCTTGGTCCTCAAGGTCAGTGACTTGCCACACTGCAAACCTCTGGAGCACGGAGGGGAGGCTGTGGTCACTGGCTCTCAGAGCTCTGCGGTAGTCAGGTAAGGGGAGGTCAGGTGGAGAGTTCTTCCTGCTTCTGCTGTTAGGTTTTTGGTCCCTTCACTGATTTTCTTACATTTATTTCTAATTTGATGGTTCTCAAAACATTTTCACATATCTCATAGGATTCTGAGGATGTCTACCTAAAAAGGTAGACAAGGCAAATATGATTTCCTTTTTATATGGAAGGAAACTGAGATTAAATTAAGAATTTTGTTCAGAGTCACACAAGTAATAATGGAACCAAAATAAGAGGTTTAAGGCACCCACATGTCTCATTACACCTTTGGGGTCCAGTTGTAGGACTAAGAAATTGAATTATTTATTGTCGACCTGTAAGTGTTTTAAAGGCATCAAAATTGAGTAACACTGTGTTTATTTTGCAGGAGAAGATGGTGTAAACTGGTTCATCAGTGACAAAGACGTTGAGGTAAAATCAAAATGTTTTTGAAGTTATGAACAATGGATTAACACTTTTTTTGATTCCAAGTTTTCTTTCACTTCATTATGATAATAAACTTTTTTAAAATAGGGACAGCCTGAGTATCTTGTAAGAAAAAGTTTGATGTCTGGATATGGGTAATTGAATTTTTCAGAAGCGTGGTTCAGCCTTGATTTTTGTTAGTCAATTAATTGCCATAATGAGTTAGTCCCCTTTCCCTCCTGTTTGTGTCTTCTCTGCGGTGGTGGGTCTTAACTCATTGCCTGGTACCACTGAAGATCGACACCGGAAATAACCGCTTCTTCAGGGTAAGGAAATGGTTAGGCTATATTTAGGATGTGGCAGGTGTTTATTAGCCTTAATTGTAGCAGATGGCTAGAAAAAAAAAAGAATAATTTTACATGTTGGTAGAAGAGAAGTTTTAAGGGATAATTAGTTTAAAACGTCTTGGGGCCTACTTGGCCTATTCGGCAAAGTAGCAAGTAAAAAATGAAAGTTTTTTCAAAGATGAAATTCTACCAAAAAGATAAAAGCACATTTGGCATTTATATATTCCTCTCTAGATACCCATAGGATATGCTTTGCTGATATTTTTTTTGTTTGCAAGATCCTAGCTTTTGGCTAAAATATGAGACAACCAGAATTGGGTCATTGTAAGTAGAATGGTTTTTTTGCAAGGACTCTGGTGGAAGGAAATTAATCTCATTCTCTTAGAAATCATAATTTAGTTTATAGGCAGTAACCCTAGGCTATTTAGTAGAAGCAATGCATTCAGTAGCTATGTAGTTTTATAATTTTATAAAAGAGAAATTCATTTCTATAAAACAGAAATTCATTTTAAAAACATCATTCCCTAACCAAAAACTCAAGCAAGCTTCTCGTTCAGAAAAGTATGGTATATGTTCAGACATGGAAGTCAGCAGTATTTGACTCTGAATGCCACCAGAGTGTCTGATGCAAATCAGTCCTTGCTGGACCCGAACTGTGAGGAGAGAAAGGTTCAAAAGAAATGGAACCATAGGGAGAATGTCAAAGGATGGGGGAGGGACAGACAAAAAGTTGAGTTGTCTTTATAGCATCCCTTTTTAGGTTTTTCTAACTCCTTGTAAGAACACAAAGTTCCATGTTGCTGGGTTCTAAATTGAACTATGACTGTTAATTTTCTTGAACACAGTGAAATAGTTTTTTTTTAATTCTTAATTTTTTTTCCTTAGGCTCAGATATGTAATAATAGATCCTCTGGAAGACTGACCCACCGATACTACACAGCAAACAAAAACGTTACCTGTAGAAATTGTGACAAATGTGGCCATTTGTCAAAAAACTGCCCCTTTCCACAAGTATGTAAAATATGTAATGTTTCTTTCTACCTTGTTAAAATCAAAATCTTAGAGGACTGAAACCCTGTAACCTTAGAATTCAAATCTTATGTAATATGTATTAAATTTCTTCTTAGTTTTTCATGTAGGTCATACCCTAGAATAGTAGTAGAGAAAGATCAATAAATTTAGGGTCAAAAAGCCTGGAATCCATTTCGGCTTCCCATCCGTAGTTGGAAAACTTTAGGCAAATCATTTCATTCTCCGTGCCTCTGTTTTCTTGTGTATGACATGAGAAGATTGAATCAGATGATTTCTGAGACCCCTTTCACTTCTAAACCATCTTCATCAGACAGCTTATTTCATCATGGGATAATTTTCATCGTTAGAAAATTATAGTTTTAGGCATTTATAAATGTTTACTGATGTAAGTTGTGTTAAACATGCATCAACCTTTGGAACAGCACGACACTACAGCTCTTAGATGTTTCCCGACACATACTAAGCCCTTAACAAACATTTCTATTACTTACTCCCCCTTCCAAATGATTTTCTTTTAAATTTTTGAGATAGCTCTCATTTGTTTCTTCTTTGTCTTTGCTTTTCTAAGCAAAACAGTCTTTTTCTTCTTCCTATGACTTAGGTTCCAGATCCTCATCATCCTGTTGAAACTTCCCCTCTCAGACACATTCCCCTTTGCTGGTGTTCCTGTAAGACAAGACATAAGAAATACAAAGATGCCAGCCAGCTGGTAGTACATACAGACTAAAAAGCCTTTTTGGCAGCAAAGGATACAGACAGCTTATGTTAAAGCTCTAAATTCAGACATTTTGTTTGATTTTATTATTAGGCTCCCGATTCAGTCTTCACTGGGGGTCTCAAATTGGAAATAACTTTTTATGGAATTGTATGGAAAAAGAAAAAATGATCTTCTACTAAAGAGGTTTTCTGTTTGTCTGCCACATAGAAAGTCCGCGCCTGCTGCCTCTGCTCCGAGAGAGGACACCTCCAGTACGCCTGTCCAGCCCGCTTTTGCTTAGACTGTTTTTTGCCTATGTCTTCTACTCACAGATGTCTTGAAAGATCTTCCTGGAGAAAACGATGTGACCGCTGTGATATGATAGGCCACTATGCTGATGTAAGTATCCTGCGTATAACTACTTTGTCAGGCCTTGGGGGCAATGTGCCAATTTGTAACTGTCAGCCTCCCTAAAAGAATGTTTACTCAGTACTGTGTGTAGTGGTAGTCATGTCCCTTTGGCCACTGACCGTGTGACACAGTGTTCTAATATAGCAGGATAGGGCTGCTGGAGAATGGTCCGTGAGAAGGCAGCATCACCAAATATTGTAGAACCCTGCTAGCGCCTTTTGCTTAAAGTGCTTGCTGAATAAAACTTGAAATTAAAGAGATGTGTAATAAATAACATCAAATTTTTGTACGTATTTGCGCGTAGTTAGATGAAATATATACACATACCAGTTGTGTGCAAAGATCTCTATGAAACCTGATCTGATGCTCCTTACTGATGGCCCTTGCTGGTAGAATAGTCTTAATGCAAGAAGGACAAACAGCCAGTACTTTGAATCTGCTCATTTCAGTTCTTTCTTTGGATTTTCTTGTTAAAGGTAAATTAGAAGACATTTCAGTTACTTGCAGCACATTAAGTTTTAGCACATTATTATTTTGGACATAATTTTACATCATATTTGGAATGTCTGTGGGGTTCTAATCTAAACAATTTTAAAGACCAGAAAGGCTATAGAAAAAGTAAGAATCTTTTCTTTTTAATTTGTACTTCCCAAAGACATGATACAAAGCACAAACATTTTTCTTATTTTATTTATAATTGAAGTGTACTTGGTAGCTTATTGCTCAGTAAATTAATATGGCTTTCTGTTTTGATGAATTTCACATTAAAACAAATTAGAATATGAATGGGTGGTATATGCATTTCTTATGTAGATAAAAATAGGGTTACTGTACTATACACTGACATAGTATTTGATTTTTTTTTTCCACTTTGGAAAATTTGTGCATGTGTCTCTGTAGCAGCTCACAAAGATGCACCATTAGAAGGCTCAAAAAACTTACCTGTACAACCCATGGACATGATCTAAGGAGGAGGAATGCTAGAGGGTTGTGGGGGCAGGGCAGAGGGGGGATAAAGGGGAAAAGTGGGGAAACTAATAGCATAATCAATAAAAAAATACTTTAAATAAATAAATAATTTTTAAAAAATTAAAAAACAAACAAACAAAAAAAGATGTATCATTAGACTGACCCAGCCATTTTTCTACCAATACATTTAGATTTATATTGTTATTTTTATATACTGTTACTAAATAGTGCCCCAGTAAACATCTTTATATATATACATACATATAAGAGTAATTTGGTAAGTCACATTCCAAATACAATTGTGTAAGTAAAGGATATATACATTTAAGTCTGGGTAAACACTGTCAAATGGCTCGTTTAAAAGGTTGTACCAATATATCCATTTGCCAGCAGTGTTTAAAAGTGCTCTCAACACTAACTGTAATCGACATTTAAAAACTGTGCCAGTCAGATAAGGAGAAAATGGTATCTTATTGTTTTAATTTGTGTTTGTTAGGCCATAAGTGATATCGAATATGATTCTCAAGACTAGAGAATATATAGAGCATAAAGATAGAAGTTGTGCCCTGGCCAGTGTGGCTCAATGGATTAAGCACCAGCCTACAAACCAAAGGGTCGCTGGTTCAATTCCCAGTTGGGGCACATGCCTGGGTTGTAGGCCAGGTCCCCACTTGGGGGAGTGTGAGAGGCAACCACTCACTGATGTTTCTCTCTGTCTCTTTCTCCCTCCCTTCCCCTCTCTAAAAATAAGTAAATAAAATCTTAAAAAGAAATAGAAGTTGACATTTCATTTCAAAGTAGCTTAAACTTATTTTTCAATATTGGCTAAGTCTTAAAAATAGTAAATTTTAACTTGTCTTAGTTTTATAATGTTGTTCTGTGCATTCAGTTGTCAATTACAACTTTCTTAGTAAGATTTTCTAGTTTGACAGTTACGTTTAATAGCATTTTTTTACTCCGTTTTTTAAAGAGCTCTTAAAAATATGGTCTTATTTGCCTGTGATAACAGAAGAGGCTCAGACATTATCATGAGCAGTTTTTTTTTAATAAATGTTTTAGTACAGAACAGTGAAGAATGATTTGTAATAGGCTATATAATCAGCTGTGAATTAAATCTGTAGCCATTCAGCTTAACATCTTAATTTTGGCCTCTAATGTATGTTAAACTCTTTATCTAAAATGGCCTTGAGGATTAATAACCCAGCAAATATAAGTTTTTAAGATAGGGTTAGGCTGTGACCGACTGCAGAGACAGCAGCACTCTTTCCCCTAAATCTGCTAAGATTGTGGTTTTTATTTTATTTTATTTTATTTTATTTTTTAAATAATTACATGCCGAAGGTTCTAGACACTAATTGATCTTTTCCCAGTCTGCCCAATTGGTATAACATTCCCTTGGAGCCAACTCACACCTGGGCTCCACTGACTCCTGAAGAAGCTTCGAGACTTTCCACCATCCCAGGAGGTCTTCACGAGGACTTGCTTGGAAGCGGAGTCGTTCTGGCCCCAGGTTGCTGGAGCTATTCAACCAGCCCCGTGCATGCTTTAAATCTGTCTTGAAGCCTGGCCCTCCGCAGAAAACATGGTTTCCCCTGCACCCATCTCAGATGCTTGTCACCCCCTTTCTTATGTGCTGTGGCTGCTTCTTAGTCATTTCTCCTCCCTCTTTTATGTAGATACCTTTGGCTTATTTAAAGGTTCATACCCTCTGACAATACTGTCTTCCTTTTGTCATTTTCATCTTTCCACCTACTGGACTTCCTGTTCATTCACAGAGGATTTCTGAAGCCCTAAGTAACTATAGATGCCGTAATCGCTTATAAATTAAAGAGATCAAAAAACTCGATTTTTACTGTATATATCCTTGTAGTCACACTTCAGATTTCTATAAAGCCAGAGTACCAGTTACATGTGCAAAGAGAATTTATAATGAAAACTAATGAGTCAGTCATGTTCATATTCTTGCTGTAATGAAGAATATGAATTTTCTCTTTGTGAACTCTACTTGAAAAATGTCTCATTTGTTAACTACTGTATAAAAGTATTTGGTTGAGATTCCAGAATTTTGCAGTGCAAAGATGGCTCGAGGCCTTCTAAAGTCCACTCTGCATCATTTCCAAGGCAAGAGAAGACATTCATGGAGAATTGGTAGTTTAGAAAAAAGGAATCAGAAATTACTCCAAATGAAATAAACCCACAATAGGAAATAGGAGGAAAATCAAGAAAATTCTAATTCATTCCTCTGTGTGAGTAGAGAAGATGGAAGAGAATCCAAAATAAAATGATCAAAAGAAATTTTGATCAAAAGAGCACACTCACTATGAGGGAGAACAAAGACCCACATCTAGACAGAGAGGAGATTACTGAATGTCAAACATAAACCACACATCCACACATCATACACATGCACACACACACACATCGAGTTTGCATCAGATTTCTCCTGTGCAGTACTAAAGGCCAGAGGCAGTAGAGAAATCTGTAGAGGCTAGAGCCTTCTGAGTAAAATAGATGCCACAGCCAAGCTGTTGTTCATTTGTGAATTTATGGGAAAAGTCAGAATAAAAGAAGCAGCAGTAAACAGTGAAACCAGGAAAGAATAGAGTACATGCCAAATACTTCCTGTTAATCTTTTTAAAATTAAATTTTAGGAAAAAATCTTTAAAAAACAAATATGATTTTTAAACTATAATAATGTGGACCATAGGTAATTCTAATAAAATTGAATTTGTTTTAATTATAAGAAGAAAAAAAGCCATGTAACTTTTAGATTTCTAATTTCAAGTGAGGCAAAGGAAACTTAAACAATAAAACAAATGATAGGGAAAAATGGAAATAGCAAGAATGTGTAAAAAAGTATGAGGACAAAAATAGGACCAAGTATATTAAGTATCATAATAAATACATGCATTGATTAACTGCTCTTACTAATACCATGACACCCTTGTCCAAAACCATAAAGGAAAAAGGAGGATAGATTTAACTTTTCAAAAAAGTATATTCATCCAGAGACTATTAATAAAATTAAATGATAAACCACAACTTTGGAAAGATTTTTATAAAATATGTGATAGGATAATTATTTGTAATATGTGAAAAACCCTTACAAATTGAAGAAAGATGTCTCGATAAGAATATGCAGTGTTAGGGAAGTTGTGACAGGAAAGCACATTTGGATAACCTTTCTGGAGTTCAGAGTTGCAAGAATGTTCCTCTCAGAGTTGTTTATAATAATGGAAATTAAAAGCAACCCAAATATTTAACATTGCAGCTGACTTACGTGATTTATAACATGTCCCCATATAATGGAATGCTCTTCAGCCATTTAAAAAAATGATGTAGAAATGATTATTGAATATGATGAAGTTACTAGTCCATTAAATGAGAAATCAATAAATTACAAAACAACATGTGAAGTATAATCCTGTTTTTATATAAATTTAAATATTTATGTATGTATATAGATTTGCATGGGAAAAAAGTTTGGAATGAAGTATTCCAAAATGTTTACTGTAGTTACAGTTACTGTAAGAAAGAGGAAAGGCTAGTGAGGAAGCTGGAGTTGTTATTGTTTAAACATTGTGGAAAAGGAATTAAGTAAGCTTGAGTAAACTGAAGGAAGGTATATATAAACTTGGAGAATGGTGTGGAATGCTTTTGTTTTTTATCAATGATTAAGATATTTTAGGTTTCTTAATTCCAGAATTGAACTATAAAATATGAGATCAGATTTATCTGATCAGATATTCTTTTCTATGTATTTTTGAACAACTAAAAACATAACTGAGTAGACCTTAAATGCAGAAATACATACATTGCATATAGTAGATACACAGTGTTATTTCTGAAATTGTTTTTTTGGGTTTGTTTTTTTTTTTTACAAAGAAGATGGCCACAAGCAGCTATATCCTAACAAAATGTATATTTTTGATTTGTCCTTCTGGGTTTTCTTCCTTACTCTCTTGTCAACAGCTCACTTCAAGTGGGAATTTTTGCTTTCTCTTAAGTTTGCCACATCA